TAGGATACCTGAACTGCTTTCCTGCAAGGCTTTTCTGTATTATGTTGCATTAAGTCATTTTCACTCCAGCTGTTTTTGATGGCGTCCATGAGGCAGTGTCAAAACCACCATACAAATCTATAACCATCATTGAGTTTGCTAGTGCTGAGATTAAGACCAGAGGCTGGCGTAAGGAGGTAAAAAATGAGATTTCCCTTTGCTGACTGTCACTCCATTAGTGCCTGGCATGTGGTAATTTTGAAAGATGAATCAAGATTGCTACATGTAGACTTTTCTTCCTAGCAGAAATCTCTTGGGAGCAGCAACAGTTTCCCACCGGAGATCCCTAGTAGCACAAAGTCCTGACACCAAAGAGTTAATGATTTAACTCCGTTAAATCATTAACTCCGTTTTCTTGTGCAGGGACCGGGACTTCCCTGCTGTGATAGAAGCCGGACGCGAGGGGATCGCCTTCAGACCTCAGGTTGGGGAGGACCGGGTTAGAGAGCTTCTGGAGGGGCTGGACGCGTTCAAGTCAGCGGGTCCGGATGCTCTCCACCCCAGGGTGCTGAGGGAGCTGGCTGGGGTTATTGCAGGGCCCCTGGCACGGCTCTACGAGCGATCGTGGTGCTTGGGCCAGGTGCCAGACGATTGGAAGGTAGCTAATGTGGTCCCCATCTTCAAAAAAGGGAAAAGGGAGGACCCGGGCAATTATAGGCCCGTCAGTCTTACCTCAATCCTGGGGAAGCTCTTTGAGAAGATCATCAAGGAGCACATTTGTGATGGGCCGGCATCCGAGATGATGCTCAGGGGCAATCAGCATGGATTTATTAGGGGGAGATCATGTCAGACCAACCTGATTGCCTTTTATGATCAGGTCACAAAGGCCATGGATGCAGGTGTCGCGGTGGATGTAGTCTTTCTGGACTTCAGCAAGGCCTTTGACACCGTCTCTCACCCCATCCTAATTAGTAAACTAGGCGACTGTGGCATAGATGCCTACACGGTCAGATGGATTGCAGATTGGCTGAAGGGTCGCACTCAGAGGGTGGTGGTGGATGGATCATATTCGACTTGGGGGGAGGTGGGTAGTGGAGTCCCTCAGGGCTCGGTCCTGGGCCCTGCGCTGTTCAATGTCTTCATCAGCGATCTTGATGTTGGGGTGGAGAGCAACCTGTTTAAATTCGCTGATGACACCAAAATTTGGGGGGAGGTGAGCACGCTAGCAGGGAGAGAGAGATTGCAGAAGGATCTGGATAGGTTACAGGGGTGGGCAGACAGGAACAGGATGCGTTTCAATACGGACAAGTGCAGGGTGCTGCACTTGGGTAGTAGGAACCAGCAGCACACTTATAAGATGGGGAGCTCCCTACTTGAGAGCACGGAGGCGGAAAGGGATCTTGGTGTCATTATTGACTCCAAGATGAACATGGGCCGACAATGCGAGGTCATGGTTGGCAGGGCTAACCGGACCTTGTCGTGCATCCACAGGTGCATCTCGAGTAGAGCCAGGGAGGTGATCCTCCCCCTCTATGCGACGCTGGTCAGGCCGCAGCTGGAGTATTGTGTCCAGTTCTGTGCGCCCCATTTCAGGAGGGATGTGGACAACATGGAGAGGGTCCAGAGGAGGGCCACCCGCATGATCCGGGGACAACAGGGCAGACCCTACAGTGAGAGACTGCGGGACTTGAACCTATTCAGCCTCCACAAGAGAAGGCTGAGGGGGGACCTGGTGACCGTCTATAAACTCACTAGGGGGAACCAGAAGGGTTTGGGGGAGACGCTGTTTCCCCTAGCCCCTGCTGGCATAACAAGGAATAATGGGCACAAGTTGATGGAGAGGAGGTACAGATTGGACATCCGAAAAAACTACTTCACAGTCAGGGCGGCTAGGAGCTGGAACCAACTTCCAAGGGAGGTGGTGCTGGCCCCTACCCTGGGGATCTTTAAGAAGAGGCTGGATACTTACCTGGCTGGACTCATTTGAGTCCCGTTTTTGTTTTTAGGGTGAGTGGTTTTGTTTGTGTTTTTGGGTTGTTCTCCCGCCCTGGCGGGGGGTCGGGCTAGAAGATCTATTAGGTCCCTTCCGACCCTGAAACTATGAAACTATGAAACTATGAAACTATGAGAAAGGCTTCAGCCAAGCAGATAAACCCTGGAAGTTTCTGAGTACAATGTGAAGAATTCAGATCCCTGAAGTGCATTGCTAAAGCCTTAATAATGCCTTCCTAGTCTTTGAGGGCAGGACTGTGAACTGGAGTTCTTGTCAGCTTCACTTGATCAGAGCCAGGCTTTGAGGGGGCGTGGGGGAGAAGAATTTCAATCATTTTCCAGATTTAAATCTTATCCACAGCTCCCTTGGGGTGCATGAGCCAGTGTGCCTCCGCCAACTGACACCTGACAAGACTGCGTATAAGACTGTTCATTGTGCTGCATCGTCACTGTGCACTTTCTAAGCATGGGCTAGATACATGGCTGCTCACCTCATGGCTTTGCATGATTCGTGTTGACTTTCATACATTTTCTATATGTAGAAGTGTGGGGCTGCTGTGCTTCCACTGAGCTGCTGTATACACATTTATTGTATCATGCAGGAACTGGGAGGACCACAGTTTTTTAATTTTATTATGATGACTTTTTATCTGTCTTGTACTTTAATTTTCTAAAGAATTTACTTGTAAGAAGCTGGAGGAAAAGGCCCAGTTACCCCCAGGTACTTATCCTTACCAAGCAGGCAGTTTTAGACAAGTAAAGCAACACAACGCCTTTTTTTGTTAGGCCACTATGCAGACCTGGATCACATTATTAGTTAGCAAAGTAAGAGCCCTTCAGCAGCCTTTTTGCCAGCTTGCACTAGGTGAGAGTTTAAGGTTGTGGGACCACAAACAAGTTACTGCAAGGTAAATATGGGCAGGAGTTTACAACATGGCAGTTATTCCACATACCTGTTTGTCCTCTCTCCTATCCAGTGGTACACAAAAGTTAACTTGCAATAACTTACTCCTCTTTCATCAAGGAGCAACCAGACAGAGATTAGCTTTCTCTTACCTGAGAGCATGCCTGTGAGCAGTTACCACAAAGCAGCTGCTGTGTTGTAAATCCTGTGCTTTTTTATTTTGTGGTAACTTATTCTTGTGCCCGGGCCCTCAGCCAGGGTCCCAGGACACACACTGAGAACTAAGTAACATTTTCAAAAGAGCATCAGTGATTTAGGCATCTAAGGCCCTTTGAAAGTAGGATTCAGGCACCTAAAGCACTCAGCAAGAGAGGCCAGGGATTGAATTACAGGTGGAAAGTGAGGCCCAAATGGCATGTCCACTGCCACATAACTGCAGTCCCATTTGGGATTGTCATTCACCACAGAGCAAAATGGGTGACAGGATCAACCTGGATGAGCACCACGCGAGGTAAAATGGAGGGGGATGAGGGACCTTCAGCCTTTTAGCCCAGTAGCTTAATAGTTAGGGCATCTGCCTTGGGAGCAGAAGACCTAGGTTTTATGTCCCCCGTAGCCAGAAGGAGTTTGAACCTACATCTCCTAATCCCCAGAAAATTGTTTGGGCCTTCTGTAGGCATGACTTAGCCTCTTCTCCAGCCCTCCTGAAGCTGGCCAGACTGCACTTTTCATTTCATTTTCATTGACTAGACTGTATAAACAGTATTAGAAAGGTTTTGCCCCTTTAGGAGCAGAGACAGCACCCAGCTCAACATTCAGCTGCCCTGAATGCCCTTCATTCCCAAGCAGCAGTCATCTCAGTGAACCACATGCTCTGTCTTATACTTTTGTTTCTGGTTCAATATAACTCCCTCTCTGGGTTAGCTGTGGGGCCCAGCCCCAAGAGAAGTGCTGGAGAAGGCTCTGCATATAGACTTGCCTGTGCCACACTGGTGCCAGGAAGCAGAACCACAGATTCAAACCCCATGTGAGAGGGAGACCTAGAAACTGGGGCTTCCTGGATAAGTGTCCTTATTGTTGGGTCCAGCCTTGAATACCAGATCCTCATTTTTTTTCTGCAGATAAAATCCTGTGACTTACCTGGCCTTAGGGGTATACATGGGCAAATCTGTTTCACTGCACAGCTGCCCAGGCAGACCAGAGCCATACTGAGTATATTTAGTGGCAGTATGCAGAGCTGAATTGAAAACTGTGCATAAGTGCCAAAAACTGCAGTTATGCAGCTGATTATGTGCCATTTAGGTACATAATAGGTAAAAGGATTTAGTCTTCAAGCTCTACCTCAGCTATAGAGCTGGTCCCATCAGTGCTGCAACATGGGTGTGGGCTGGGGAGGGAAGCTTGCCCTGTTTCTGCCTGTGCTCTGTTACTTAAAAAATAACAACTGCAGTCTCCCGGGCTAGCCACTTTCACAGGCACTTGTAAAGAGGTAGTGTCAGGTTAAAACTTGAGTATCTGTGTTAATATGCTTTTAATTTTTTTCCATTTCTCTCTCCTCTTCTTGTTCCTGCTTCAAGGAATTGTGGGAATGTCTTTTGTTCCAGTTGCTGTAACCAGAAGGTGCCAGTTCCTAGTCAACAGCTCTTTGAACCCAGCAGAGTCTGCAAATCTTGCTACAGCAGCTTGCACCCCAGTTGTTCCAGCCTTGACCTTGAACTGGATAAACCCATCACTGCCACTTCAAATTAAAGCTCCAGCCTGGAAGGAATGGGAGAGAGAGACAGTGCTAATCTTCCCCTACGCGGACCCGCACATGCTTGGTGAACTGATGCTGGTAGGACTGGAGAAGCCGTGCACTTTGGAGTTTGAGGCATGGAACACTGCTCGGAGGGCCAGAGCTCTAGGACGTACCACTGGATTGTGGGACTCTACTTTTCCATCTATTCCCCCCCTTTCCTTTTTATCTTGTTTGTGTGTACATATATATATAATATATATATATATATTTTTTTTTTTTTTTGGTTTGCTGGAAGACTGTAGAGTGGGAAAGGAGGCTGGGTCCAGAGCCAGGTCTCCCTGATGCTTTTGGCACTCCCATTTCTGTGTTGAAGACAGACTTCTCCTTTTTATGGAGGAAAGGAGAGGAGGGGAATCAGTCCAGAGATGGCGTGCAGAGCGTGAATACCTGTAGCGTCAGTGCTAGTGCTTTCAGTCACTCCTGTTACTTCCAAACAAGAAACTGCTGTTTGGGAAACTGTTGCTGCTAGAAGAAATGGGAATCTCTTTCCCAAGAGAGCACTCTCCCTCTCTGTTCTTAGAGTGGGTTTAGTTATCCTCCCTGCGTGAAAGGGGAATCAATCACAGATTTCCATACTCAGTGGCTCTGTACATACTTATTATATAATCCATGTGTTATTGCCATTAGCCAAGTTGGCCGTTATTTTGAGTGGAAACATCTGGACACCTTCGACTAAGGAAAGTGTGCGCTTGTTTGAGGGAAGTGAGAAGGAAAGGGATTGAACAGACTGCTTGTTTGGGGCTGGTTTTACACTGGCATCTCTATGTAAGATTCTGTAAATGCAATTTATTTAAAAAACAAAAAAAAGGGGGTGATGTCCGGGAAATTAGAAGGCTTTTAAACGTCTACCCTTGCTCCATTTTTAGGATGGTTTACGCAGAAGGCAGAGCTGTTTCACTAATAGTACATTCATATGGTTCCTATAAACATAGGATGAATATCATACTGTAGATCAGACTCACACTTTAATGAGATAACCCAAAGCAACTAAAGGACAGCTGTGATATGCTAACTAAATGTCATTACCCTCAGACTGTCAGCCAGTAAAAGGTAGCGTACTGCCTCTGGTATCATCTGTGAAACATTTCCTTCTCTTCATTCTGCGGTCTGCATACCCCAGACATGAAAATCCTGACCAAGGGCCCTATCCAGAATAAAACAAATCATGGATTTTTCCATGCTTTTATAAGTCACCTCAGTAAAGTGTGAGTCTCTCTAACAGAGAACTTTTTATGCCTAGGTCTCTTTTCCTTTTGATAAACACTGCTTAGTGCAGTTTGGAGAAGAAAGGTACATTATAACGTTCTGTTTCATGATTTATTGTACAAATTTAAGTTGTGACAGCTTCTGGTTCTGATGTTCTCAAAAAGAACAAATCCCATTGAAGTATTTGAAAGTTGTTAGTATGAAAGTGCAAGGAATTATAATGGATCTTGGGCAAGATGGATACTCGCTGGTAGTGAAGCATCAAAACATCACCTAGAGTGAAGTTCTCACAGAGAGAATGTCTGGTAGCACCTAATGGGAAAGAAGTGTCAAGGCCTTTTACTTTTGACATCTGAACTTTCCACACTCTTTGAGAAAGAAGCATAAACTGCTGTAGAGTTAAGCTAAAGATTCACAAGACAAACATGAATGTTCCAAGCTGTTTCACATAGCAGCCTATGTACTTAAATTACAAAGGGGCTGCTAACAAGGCTCCTTGAGTTCTTCCCTGGTACATGCTTTGAAACACTTTCAAATCATCGGTAGGGAAGAGCAGACAGAAAGATAGGGTCTCCAGTTTGAGTTGCATCTAGAATCAATTGTTCCCGGAACTGCTCTAGACGTTAGAGTTTCAGGTAAAACAGAGAAAGTTGGAACAGGAGCCAGAGTAATACACAGCTCCTATCACTCTGGCTTTTCCATTGAGGTTGTGATTAGAAGTCTGATTTTAGGGGACATGGTATAGTTCTGCACACTAATATTGTGTGGTTTTGTGGTGCAAATAGACAGTCAAAACTAAGTCTAAGATTCTGCAGTTCCTAATGACAGGTGCCAAGAGGTTATGATACGGGTTTTTTGGGTCTGTGATGTATAGTGTGAATAAATGCTTGCAGCTCTTAGTCTTTTTTGATCAATGAAGCACTTTTTTATTAATATTATTTTTCTTTTTATGTAAAGGAGGAACTGATATCTCTCCATAGCTGTATATATAACCCTTCTCTCCTAAAGAGAGTAAAGTGCTCCTATATTTTTCATTTTTGTCAAAGCAAGAAGTAAATACTTTAGAATTGTTGAATATATAAATAAAAGTGAATAAAATTTAGAGTTTTGCATGGGAGCATTTGCTAACACACTTTCTATTTTTTTATTTTACCTTCCTGTCCTTCTTAGGCGAAATATTTGAGGTTCAACAGAGACATTGATGCCTTTGATAAAAAAGACTGAAAGCCTCCTCTTGCTTTCTTTTCCACTGTGTGTCTTTGCAAGGAACATGCGCATATTTTTTTAGAAGAAAAAAATATATATTATGGTTGGTTTTACTGGTATTAGAATCCCAGCCAGGTTGTGGGGGGAAGGGGACATAAAATTAGCAGCATCAGGTACTTTTCTGTAACAATCAATGCAGTTTTCCTTTGAACAGAAAAACTGGGTGTTAAGAGAGTTTGATCTTCCTTTGTACCTCAGATTTTTCTTCCCTTGCGCTGACCATCAGATTTCAAAGCTTGATCTAATGATTACCCCAAACATGCTGAAACGGCACAGGTCACCAGACCTCATCCCAGGCGTCAGTACAGTTTGGAAAAGGGAGTTCTGCATATGTCCACCATCTGCAGCAAACAAAGTGTCAGTATTCACTGTAAGATAATGCTGGTGAAGAACTTGAAGCCCAGTTCTGATTTGCATGATTTCTGCCTTATTTTCAGTGCTTTATGGAGAAGCCAGGGGTCTTTGGGAACAAACCAAATTCACTCAGGTTTAATGATGAAAACTCTTATAATCTCAAGCTGGACAACTCTACTAGTTCTTCTGAAAAACCTCACCTGCATAAGGGTCTACTTCTCTTAGAGCTGCTAGTTTGTTTCAGTAACGTTACTTCATGTCCACACCTGTCCACTTCCCATCACACAACCTTGTGGCTTCTTTTATTAATTTTTTTACTTCAGTATTTTATGTCAGGAATTTTGTACTGAGCTCTCTGGGTGATTGAACAATTCTCTAAGAATCTCTTGCTTATTTTGGCACAGCCCTATTCTAGCCCCAAAGTGTGGTGCACAGCTATTTTACAATCTTACTGCATTTTTCTTTAAAAATTAAATAATACTGCCGATTCTTGAGAGAGCTGTGATCACGGCCAGTGGTTCTCTCTCTCAGCTTCAAGAACAAAATAAAAAAAAATCCCATCTAATGTTGTGCACTGTTAAGAATGAGTAGGGGGACATTCAGGGTAATCGTCAGTTATACACTAGCATAATGTGACTTTAGATAGCTCCTTTCATACCTGAGTTATTTCAAAGTGCTTTTCCACTAACTCATTATTCTGTAATACAATGATTGTAGGCTTCATCTGTGCATCAGCATCTCTGGCCTCAAATATGACACATGCTATCATTGAAAGCTGCTCTATTATGAATGGGCTATTGAGCAGGAAACTGGGATTATCCCCATCTATTGCCAGAAAGATCTGATGTTTAATTTCCTCCTGGAGTTACTCTAGTATTGAACAGCAAAGGTTTTCAATTTGAAGAACCCAAAGGGACCGCCCTTCTAACAGGTCAGCAGTCCCTTTGAGTGCATTGCATTGCTGATGTTTAGGAGTCTATGTCCAAGGGATCAGTTGTACCTAAAAAATATTTGTTCCTCTTCTTTGATGGAGCTGGTAAATACCTTAAAATTGCAAAAGTACAGTTGCTATTGTAAAATACAACTTCAGTGCTGCCTTACCTGCTGTGCACTCCTCTTCAAATGATGTTCAAATAGCCTTTGAAGCACCACTTGTGAAGAGACTAGCTGTTCACCGGTGGTTTAAGGAAAAGGCTGTCTTATGGAGTCAAAAAACTGCACATGAAATAACCTAAGTATGCTTACAGCTGGGCAGTGGTTGTCCCAACAACCATTAGAACAGAGTTAATGAACAGGTGCCATTCTGATGGGGATGGGAACTGATCAGTTATTCACACCTTGAGTTGACAGTCAACAGATGAAGTATTCTGGTGGTAGTGTGAGTGGCAATAAGTCATGAGTGCTTCACCTGAGGGGTCAAGAACAGGTTAGCAGTTGGTAAAAAAAAGAAGGAAGAACTCAGGCTTCAGTATGTAGGAACGTAGCATGGTTCAAAACTGCCACCTTAAGCTGTTTTGTGGGGCTGTTAAAAAGCAGTAACCATGTGCAAGTGTGCTGAGCTGATTCAGTCATGTAGAGGAGCTTGGGGGTGCAGATGCCTGCTTACCTTTTTGACAGATCCTGCATTCCTGTAGGCTCCTCATTGGGATGATAAGCTAAGAGAACTATCAGTGTCCCTCCACAGTTCATTAAAGGATCAGGCTATAACTGGCTCTTTTGAAGGAGGTGTACAAACCACTGCTGCAAATATTGCTGCATGGAAGTCAGTTCACTCATGGTTTTGGTTCATATTCAGGTTCTGAATCAGGATCTACATTGTCTCTAAAGCCATCATCAGCTGTATCACCCAGAAGAGGTTGCTTATCGCTGCTATTTAGCAAGGCACATAGAATCATTATTTTTGGCTAAAAAGGGCAAGCAGCATTTTAGACTCTTTTCTCTAGGTTGAACAATGGGGAGGAGTGTAGCTCTGGTTCATAGAAATACCGAATGGAAGCATGTGTTTGGAGTTACATAGATGCTTTTGTTTAGGTTGTTTTAAGGGACAGCTTGGTAATTCTGCTGTGGGCAGTTTCAGTCCTTTACAACCACAAAACCTGTTGGAGCAGCACAGAGGATCTAAATATACAGCCAAAATCTAGCCCAAGGTGCATGAAATTGTAGTTTATCCACAGCTTTCTCTACACTATATAGCCTAACCTGGCTCTCTGGCTAAGTGGGAATCCACCAGCACAACCAAGAGGTAACAGATGCTGAACTATAAATTTTAATACAGCCATGACGCTACCCACATTTGTCTGTCTTTGTTTTTTGCACACTGTGGACATCCCATTTCCTGGACAGATAAATAATGATTCTCCATCCCTTCATTTTATGCTCACAGTATAGGCTCTAGTCCTCAGATTGTTGCATTTGAGGGTTTCATGATTAACAGAGCCTTTGGACTTTCAAATTTTTGAAATGCTGCTAAACTTACCTTACTATTTAACAAGTATACGTTTTGAGGGTTTTTCTTTTTTCTTTTTTTTTTCTTTCTTTTTTTTTTTTTTTTGTTTTACCTATTTCCCAGAGTTATCTTATTAAATGAATTATCTTGCAGTGGTCACAGGTGATGCATTTGATTGTACCTTTTTGGTGGAATTTGTATTAAAATGGCATCTGACTAATTACTTCAAGAACATTAAGTGTTTCAAAACATGCAGACCTATGAGACCAGAGAGCTGTTTATCAGCAGTATAAATTGTTAGACCCTAGTGCTTACTTGTTTGTAACAGCATTTATTCTGCTGTAGCCTCAGAGTGAATATTTAGATCTTAATAAATTTGTCTTTTTCATACACAGTGACAGTTTTACAGTCCATTGTGTTTTGTACCAGTGTCTACTTAGGGCTCCCAGTTTATGATGTTTCTTCCTAGGCAAATTATAGCTCATACAGATAATTGGCAGAAGACTGGGCTTAACAGGGCTTAGCCTCCTCAATGCAGCTCCACTGCTCCACCGTGATGCCGTAGCGCTGCACCCAGCACCCCCAGCATGCACTGGCACCATAACAGCCCTACAGAAGGGAGGGATGGCCCCGCACTGCCCTGCACCACTCTGCACTGTCCCCTGCACCCTTGGCCCCCCCCCAAATAAGATTCTCTCTCGCCACCACTGCTCAAACATTAGGCAAAGAAATATTTGCAGTGTTCAGAAATGGGTATTTAATGCATAAAAATTGACATGACATCCTAAGCATGGAGGGATCTTCAGAGCTTGACAAAGCCCTGCCAAACACTGCATTCCTGGAGCAAAGCTCCCAGCAGAAATAGGGATCTGGATGATCTTAGTGGCCAGATTTTGTATTGAAAACACCAAGGCTTACAACCTCCTGGCTATGTTCTTTACTGACCTGTATTGAGGCTTGGTAACAATGATTAACTGTGTTGAGTTCAGAGACCGGATCGGGTGAGACAGTGAACACGCTAGATGGAATGTTGCTGTGATTTCTGGACTGGGGTGAAGGCGGTGGTAGGTTAAAGTGACATCAAAACCTCTCCTCAAGATTACTGCCTACCCACTCTGTGAGCTAAGATACAGTTCAAGAGCATGTACTGGGGACTGTGCCTGCTTTGTCTCCCTATATGTGCTGAGTGCTGTCCGTACTTCAAAAACACCAGTGCCGCACAACGGAAACACATTGGCCTCTTTCCTCATTCCTTTTCCCAGAGCTATAAAATCATACTTCTCTGTCAGGTTCAAAGAAATGATTCCCTATTTAAAACCATTATGCCTTGTGTATTTGATCTCACTGAAATCGGCTTTTCTTAAACAGCAGGTATAATATAGCACAGAGTCAATGCTGATCCCTAAGTTTGACTTCTGATACGCAGAGGGCCAGCTTCACATAAGAGCCAGGCACCAATGTCTAGTGTGCAGGCACCACTGAAATCCTCACGATTCTACTTGGTTTCTGCCTAAGCCTATAACATGTGTTTCTCCATTCTTTTATTTTATGGAACTGTTCAGGACCCCTTCCCTGTGTAACCATCTTCAGGATTCTAATTGCAGTACAGTAATGCCCCACAATGCAGTGCAGATGGGATTTACCATGTCCAAGTTATGCTACAGCCTTGAAATCACGTTCTTATGGCCAAAGCAGCTGTGGACAATGAGTGACAAATCACAGCCTGTGCAAGGAGTATGTCACAGGGACATAAGATGGGAAAGGAATATGATAAAGCTGAACATCCATTTTATTTAAAACTGGGACCATTTCTGTGTTTGGATCAGGCTGCCACTTCAAGGTCTTTTTAAAGGCATTGCATACATTTGAGCAGGTCTTTGCAGGTGATCATTTAAGAACATTTTCTCCTGCAAGAGATGCTCAAGAACAGACATTATAATTGAGGTGCCGTTCATGCCCTTGGAGTGCTGCAAGCACTAGGAATTGCTCTATAGCACTTTGTAGCAGAACATGTAACATTTGTAGTTGCATGTAGCACTACAGGAGGTTTCTCTTGCTCTTCTGGCATCCCCAGTCCTCTACTCTCCCCCTCTCCTCCAAGGAGGGCAGGAGAGGGAGAGCAGCAGGGCAGCAGTGAGCACTTCTCACCATCCTACTATGCAGGACAGTGAAGGCTCAAAGCCACCTTTGCTCCAGACTCTGGGGCAGCAGCAACCAAGCACTCCTGATGCCTGCAGAGGTGGCAGGCAGCAAGGAGAGCTACAGCTCCCAGTCCAGAGCAGCATCTCACAGTGACAACCCTCCTCTGTCAGCTCTGCTCCTCAGTCCCTACCACCACACTGCTGTTACCCCAGCAGCAGAGGGAGCAGCAACCACCGCTGCCCACAATGTCAGAGACTGGCTGTTGGGTGATCATTGGTAGCCTGCCCAGTCCCACTTCTCTGATGGGAGAGGGAGCAAGCAGACTGTCAGTGACAGGGCTCACTGGCAGGCTTCCCTGTAGAAGCAAGCAGGGGAAGCAGAGCAACCCCTTTCATGCCTTGGCTAGAGAGCATCCCTTTGTGGCAACTTTGTAGTATTTCTGTAGAGCTACAAAGTGCTGTAGCATCAAAGAATCCATTTCTAAGCACTCAGAAGAGAAGATGGTGATGAGGAACCATCAGGACAGATTTGCCAAAGACAAGTCATGCCCGGCCAACCTGATTGCTTTCTATGATGAGATGACTGACTCTGTGGATGTGGAAAGACCAGTGGACATAACATACCTTGACTTCAGGAAGGCTTTTGATATGATCTCCTACAGCATTGTTACAAGCCAGATGAAGAAGTACAGGCTGGATGAATGGACTGCAAGGTGGATAGAAATCTGGCTGGATTGTTGGTCTCAATGGGTAGTTATCAATGGCTCAAAGTCTAGTTGGCAGCCAGTATCAAGTGGAGTGCCCCAGGGTTTTATTCAATATCGTCATTAATGGTCTGGAAGATGGGATGGATTGCACCCTCAGCAAGTTCGCGGATGACACAAAGCTGGGGGGAGTAGTAGATATGCTGGAGGGTAGGGCTAGGATGCAGAGTGACCTGGACAAATTGGAGGATTGGGCCAAAAGGAATCTCATGAGGTTCAACAAGGACAAGTGCAAAGTCCTGCACTTAGGATGGAGCAATCCCATGCACTGCTACAGGCTGGGGACCTACTGGCTAAACAGCAGCTCTGCAGAAGAAGACCTTTACAGTGGACAATAAGATGGATAAGTCAGCAGTGTGCCTTTGTTATCAAGAAAGCTAACAGCATACTGGGCTGTATTAGTAGAAGCATTACCAGCAGATCAAGGGAAGTGATTATTTCACTCTATTCAGCACTGGTGAGGCCACATCTGGAGTACTGTGTTCAGTTTTGGGCCCCCCACTACAGAAAGGATGTGGATAAATTGGAGAGAATCCAACAGAGGGCAACAAAAATGGGTCGGGGCTGAGGGACATGACTTATGAGGAAAGACTGAGGGAACTGCACTCATTTAGTCTGCAGAAAATAAGACTGAGAGGGGATTTAACAACAGACAGCCTTCAACTCCCTGAAGGGGGGTTCCAAACAGGATGGAGCTGGACTGTTCTCAGTGGTAGCAGATGACAGAACAAGGAGCAGTGGTCTCAAGTTGCAGCAAAGGAAGTTGCGGTTAGATATTAGGAAGAATTTTCTCACTAGGAGGGTAGTAAAATACTAGAACAGGTTACCCAGAGAGGTGGTGAAACCTCTGTTCTTGGACGTTTTTAAGGGCCAACTTGACAGCTTTGACTGGGATGATGTCAGGGATGAACCTGCTTTGAGATGACCTCCTAAGATTCCTTCCAACCCTAATTTTCTGATTCTGTGATCACAAATGCACGTCTGTCTATAGCCTGAGTGTAGCTAAAAATGATAACAGCTTCGTATATTCAGCATAATCCTAAGCAACAGTGATGAGCAATACAGCCTGCATGGGACACATTAGACCAGGGGTGGACAAAATATGGCCTATGGGCCAGATCTGGCCTGCCAATTGATTGTATCCAGCTGTCTCTGCAGCACTTCACATGGGGCTGAGCCAGCCCATAGCAGCCTGCACCATGCTCCTGCCCACACCTGCTCCATGCCCACCTACAGCACCGCCCTGGCCCCAGCCCAGCCAGCATGCACAGCTTCCTGGTGGGGCTGCCTTCTACCCACTTGACTGTCTGCAAGTGGCTGCTCATTGTGCTGGGCAGGTGGAGCAGATGGAAGGCGGCCAGGAGCTGGAGCCACATGTGCTGGGGCAGGAGCCACCCGGCTGCAGCTTCCTCCTCACCTTGAGTGGTGCAGCAGGGACAGGAGGAGCCACTGGAGGTGGAGGGAGCTGTAAAAGCAACCCTGCTGAGAAGCTGTGCACACTGGGCAGGGCAGAGCTGGGACTGAAGCCGGGGTGGCAGCTGTGGGCACAGACTGGGTTGTGGGGGGGTCCAACATGGGCTGCTACAGGCAGAAGTGGGGCTCAGCCCTATGTGGAGTGTTGCTGGGGCAGCCACAGACCAGATTAGGGGAGGGAGAGGAGGCCGGACCTCACGTGCACCTGCACTGCACTACCCAGGTGAGCTCTGCTGCATGTGCCCCCTGCCCCGCATTCCCCTTCCTCCACCCCTAGCCGGCTCCTGGGACCTAGCATGTAGGCAGCCTCCCCCAAACCTGAGCACACCCCCCCACACCCACAGTCATCCACACAGACACCCCCCCCACACACACACCCCTATATAAAAGAGCAACACTTTATTTTGAGCTACTATGCAATCATCTGTATATATACTACTAAAAAAGAAAACATAAATCAGGACAAAAAATATTTTGAAATAAAATATGTTACAGTAGATATTTGCTTTTTAGTATGATTTGTTTTTAGCTATAATTTATCAAGATGATATCTTCTGAAAGATTTTGTGTGTGCAGCCCTCGGCAGATCACCAAAACTCATTAAGTGGCCCTCCAACTGAAATAACTGCCCTAGATGCTGTAAGTCAGTCTTTCCTTTTCCAAAGTGGGGCTGGATTTTCTCAGTTAGTTCTGGTTACATCCTTCCAAAACTGGGCTTCCTTCATAAACCAAGGAGGTATCCAGGGAAGCCACCTCAGGATTGTAAGAGCCAGTTGCTTCTTCTGTGGCTACAGGGCAGAGATCCTGTGTGCACCACCTGAGTAGGGAAGGCAAACAACTTTTAACCAGTTCCTTTACATACAACTTAGCTAAATATATGGAGGTTTTCTCATCTCCAAAAAGGCATCCTATGGGCTTCTGTAAGATACCAGAGGACAGTAGGAGCACGCTGATCTGAAAAGGCAAAGATTTTGCTGCTAGCCAAACAAGAATGGCCCTATCACACTTATAGCTAATACTGAGGTCTGTACCTGTCAGAGTGAAAGTGAAAATTAACTAATAGAAAGGGCTTTCAGGGATGGGCACTTATTTTGGGCAGAGGGCCGCTTACTGAGCTTTGGCAAGCCATCAAGGGCCACATGACAGGCAGCCCAGGGCAGTTAAATATTAATTTTCTAAATTTTTTAAGGGCCCCGCACACTGAAAAGGATGGCCTGGCAGGCCACATCCAGCCCACGGGCCACATTTTGCCCACCCCTGGCTTAGATCCTAATAGTGCAGCAGGGAGCAGAGCCTGCTGATTTGCATCATAAGCAAAATCCTGCAGCAGATGGTGAGACTGAATGCTACAACGTGGGGGAGGAGGTCAGTCTTACTTCGTTCAAAGTTCCTGGCTGTACTGGTGCAAAGTAGTCTGCCTAGACCATGTGTTGCCACATCACAGACTCCCCATTCTGGTGCCTCCTCTAGTGGGTGCTGAGGGCAGGGCTAGGGCCCCATGCACTCACCCCAAGTTATGCTACTGACTGACTCAAAAAAAATGGCTAAAGCTAACATTTGTTTTTACCTCTGGGCAGTGAAGATGTCTGTGAAAGAGGCGCCAGGTCGGGCTGCATGTTCAAGCAAGAGAGCTCCTGCAAAAAGTATAGGTAAGACAGAAATCCTCCCAGTCTCCTGCTAAGAGGACAAAGTGTAATGAAATGTTCCTGGGGTAACTTGCCTTCCCCCCACCCTGCAACATCCATCTCAGCAGGCTCAGACCAGAACCTCCCACACACTGAAAAGTGGCAAGAAACAAGCCCTTCCTCCACCACCACTGCTAGCAACACCAAGTCCTCCAGTTGAAGCCAGGACTTCCTAAAACTAACTCCAAGTCATTGTGTGGTCTGCCATGGACTGCTTCTGTTATCTTCCTGTTACCTGTGTAGATCCTTGCTAGTGTATAGGCAAAATCTCTTGCTGCTAGCTCCATGCCAGATGGCCCCTTTGAGCCAACTCTCTGAGAGAACTCTTCAAGCTTGCTGATAGCGGACTGCATTCGCTGCACAGCAGACTCCAGGTCTTTAATGTTGGAAGCCAGCTCCACCTTTCCCTGCAAAGAACATTGTTTTAGGAAAAATGACAATAACCTTGTCTCTTGCAAAGACTGCAGCTGCAGATCTTGGGTTGCTTTTAAATACCAAAGCTGATCTCCTACTTAAAAAGGTTGGAGACCACTGCTCTATCTGATCTAAGCTCCATTTTCGTAGTGCCCCAGCTGTATTGTGAAACGTATGACTGGCAGGCAACAGGGAGATGCTAATATTGCTCTGAAGTGGCTGCCTATTAATAATACAGTGTGCACATGGCTGCCTAGACGTGTTAGACTCTAATCCAAGTTTCTCGTTCAGCAACACATTGTGCTTTCAGAAGGGGTCTTTATTTCAGCATTAACATGTAGACTGCCATAAATTACATAGATGTCACTATATGGAAGCCTACAGCATAACATCAATGATACCAAGTCTTCTCCTTGAATCACAGAGCTGACAAACTTGCAGTCTTGGAGTGACAGCCTGGCCTCTGGGAAGTGAATGGGCATTCTGATGCAGACCTTGCTGGAGGCAAGATTTCACCTTGGTTTCAGCTCATGGAGTCAGATGTGTTCAATTCTGCATCCCCACCCTACCAGGTCTACCACTAAATCTGCTGTGGCACAATAAGGCAAAAAGGTCTTTAAGGCAGCACTTGTAGGAGGTTCATTGCATAAATTAATCTCTTAGGGCCTTGCCACACATTCAAAATAAAACTGGATAGAAACCAGCTATAGAGTTGTTATACATTTTCAAGCACTAACTTGGTAGCTGGTTGGCTCTTCTTATAACTAGACAGTCATTTGTAATGTGTGATATTTACTCTGCACATGTAGCCAGTCTAAATATATTGTATGATTAACCAGTTAATTGTATAACATATGTAATGTGTAGCAGGGGCAATACTGGTAGGTTAGTTGGGAAGCTGAAGATGAGAAGCAGCTGCTGCAGTTTCCAGGGGATGTTTCTGAGGAGTCTGGCGCTGCTAATGATCATGCAATGTGCACTTCCCATTACTACTGGAAAATACAGCCTACTAGGTCAGCAATGCTCAGTCTGTGAGAATTCAACCTCGCTCTGTTTTCCATAATGCTTTCATGCATGACACCCTCCAAACAATTGCCCTGTATTCTGTGACTGTGTTAATACATGAAGAACACAGTGCTTAATGAACACTGTTTCGCGCTCCAGGCAAAGCAGTTAACTAACATTCACAGCATTTGTAGCATGAATGCAAAATCATCATCATTACACTGGTTGCATCTGTTGCCAAGATAAATTCCAAAGGAGCCTACAAACCCACAGCGTGCTAATAAGATGTTTTGAAAAAACAATGTTAAAAGTAACTTGGAGGTTGATGCCAGGTAAAAATACAGGCACAGAGCTGAGCTTAGCTAAAGTTACTTGGGTTTCTCCAAACCCAGTGAATGTATGTGTTTGTTGTCTGATATCAGAAGGGAAACAGGACTGTATGTTTATTCTCCAACAATTTGTCAATGTTTTACAAATGAAAATATTAGGGCTGACAAATGATTAAAAAAAATAACTGCAATTAATTGCGAGATTAAAAATAGTTGCAATGAATTGCTATTTTAATTGCACAGTTAAACAGTAGTCAGGACTTCCCCCCCCCAACCCAACAGCCTGGAGCCTGTGCACCCTGCAGCTCCCTTCCCACCACCACCAACAGCGCACAGTCCCAGCCCCAACCCTGGCCCACCCTGTGCCTGCTCTGGACCAGCCACAACCTGTGTGAACAGCCCCAACCCTGGCCCACCCTGCACCTGCTGCAGACTCACCTGCCCATGCTGAGCAGTGGCAGCAGCCAGGCAGAAGCTGTTGCTCAGTGTGGAGAAAAAGCGACCTCTCCCCCTCACCGCTGCCAGGTCCTTCTTGCTGCAGCCGCCTGGATTCCATGCCCGGGCTGCCCTGCGGCTCCTCTGCACTGCCACTGCTGCCCCACTGGTTGGCCCAGAGGTGGCAGTGATGGCAGGAGAGAGACAGCTGGGCACAGGCTCTGAGTGGCTGCAGTAAGAAGGCCCCAGCAGCAGTGAGAGGGAGGGGCCGCTTTTCCCTGTGGTGAGTAGGAGCTTCTGCCTGGCTGCTGCTGCTGTTGCCACTGCCTAGTGTGGGCAGGCGTGTTTGGAGCAGGCACGGGGCAGGCCAGGGATGGGGCTATGAGCACAGTTTATGGCTGGTTTGGAGCTGGTCTATTCCGCTGGTCAATATGATGTGTGCGATTAACATGATTAAAAAAGTTAACGCATTGATTTGTTTTTTAATTAATTGCATAAGTTAACTGCTATTAATTGCCAGCCCTAGAAAATATTCTAATTTCCTGCAGATCGACTGCAACTGACCAGGAAAAATCAGGATAAAGGTTTTCCACTTCCTCCATGGCAAAGAAGGAAAGAAGAACAAAAACTCAGGCAGCAACTTTGGTGATTATCCAAAGCAGAAACAACCAAGCTTTGCTCCCCTGTGTATTTCTCTACTTTAAGCCCAACAGCCTGTAACTCACCAGAGCTGGGCAGGGACCTTCAAAGGGTCATTTTTACAGTAATTTTTTCTGACTGTTTTAGTCAAATAGGGAACGACCTTTAAGAGCCTTTAGTTGGCCTCCTGCTCCAAGCAGTCACCCAAAAGCCACTGCTGCTAGAACTGGATTCATTTCTACCAGCAAAGAATAACTTCCAAGGTTTGGGGCATTTAAAGATAAAAAGAGAACAGCAGAAATGAACTCAAAGCACAAAGTTCATAGTACTGTATCAGCCAGATTTGTAGCTTTGCCTTAACAACCTAGACTGGTCCTTTTACAGCATTAAAGCATGGGCATAGTTGAGAGAAGTGTCCCTGTATGTGGTATCAACAGGCTTTGATTACAAATAAAATTTACAAGGTCAGTTAGTCAGTGCTGGTACCCAAGAGGAAAGAAAATTTCTCCAGAGCCCCACTGCACTTTGCAGAGCTGGCATATAGGAAGACAATGATAGACAATGATATCTATGACCTGATCAACTTTGATCCCAACTTGCTAAAAAAATACACTGATCATGAAACTCCCCAGAGTCACTTTAGAGTTACGTTTCAAGGTAGCCTGGAATTTAAAATACCCTCATAGCTCTGTGACAAGGGCACTTCAGGAACATGAATTTACTGCATCTACATATTATTCATCTCCCAAAATGGATCCTAAATGGTGGCCTCAGGTATCCACAGCCATGGAATCCACATTCATTCACAATCCACAGGAATCCACATTCATTCCTCCTGCTGTGTGTTCTATGAGAAGACCAGCCAGCTAATCATTCACTGGTTAAGTTTTATATTCCATCCACCTGACTCTCCTCTGTGTGACACACCCTTGAATCTCTCAGCTTCTCATAATTATGATTTACACAGCAATTGCCAAAGTGCATGCTGTTGCCTCATGGTAACAGCAACTTAAGCAACCATATGAGGAGCAGTCAGACACTGTTGGCTCAGAACTTTTAAATTAGTCATGTTCCTATCTAGTCTTATGTTAGGAGCCATGACCCAAACATGAGAATATGGCTGGGTATTTATGGGTAAACAACTGTTACTGGAGTGAGCTCACCTGCGCTGCAGAGAAGAAGGCAACTAATGCCTGTCCTTGGCTCTTGGTAAGGGAGCGCAGGACATCAAGTGAGAGGATATTTGTGGTTCCCTCCCATATGGTCAGCACCTGTGGGGGCAAAAGGGGGTACAAGCAGGAAAGTTGTGTCTAAAGAAAAAATGGGATTTGTTATCAGTGACAAACACTCACCAAATCGTGGCTCCCCCACAAAATCCCAGCGTCTGGAAGTGGGAGAGGGAGAGAGGAAGAAACAGAACTAGTAGTAGAGAAGAGCTGGCAGGGCTGAAGTTGTGAAAGAGGATTCTCAAGTAGAAATGGAATTGCTAAGCCAGAAAGGGCAGATGTTCCATAGGAGAAGCCAGGACTTGCCCCATACGACCTTCCAGGGCAGGACTAACCTCTGGTGCTAGGCTAACAGAATGCTAAGGGTCAAGTTCAGATGAGAGGAGGGCCAAGACCAGCGAGGAGCAGAGAGGCTGGCAGATTGAATGAAAGGAGGGACGATGGAAACAGCCACTGCTGAGAGTAGTGAGGCAGAATCTGAACAGGGTGAACTGGAAAGTGGGGAGGTGGGGGATGGAGAACAATGGGGGTAAATAGACAGTGGGCATCACTAGCCCCAACAACAGCACCGCTGAGCAGGAGTCAGTCAATTTCTGGTGATGTAAACAAGGATGGTCCCTCCAGGTCAGAACCAGGCAAGACTGATTAGTTCTGTCTACACTTGTTATAACACAGGCCCAGGATAAGCCAAGACAGAGAGCACAGCTATGATATCCTCCAGGCTGGGAAGGCTGTCTGAGCACACAGAAAGCATGTGGGATATCACAAGGGGAGATCTGGAGAGCCATGTCTTACCTGGGCATCTCGAAGTGCGACTGGCAAGCCTGTGTCCTCCATGTAGCCCTGCCCTCCAAAGCACTCCAGCCCTTCAGAAATAACAGCAATAGCCTGCAAATCACAGGGCCCTGTCAGGAATCAGAGCAGCAGACAGCCTACTTTGCCCCCAGCTGGCACTGGTTCCCAGAGTGGGCCTGGCTACTTCCAGCTGTCTCCAGTTACCTGTAAAAGTATGGCTCTCTCCTTATAAGCATCGGTTCTCTCAGTGACCAGTCAGCTACCAAATAGGACAGGTCTAGCTCTGGGCTCCTGGCACCTGTCCATTGGTTCCTAGTTCTTGATTCCTGCCTGCCAACATCTTTGCTCCCGACTTGCTCCAGTCTGCTTTTGACTCCTGACCTTGTCTGCTCCTGATCCTTTGGCTTGTAACCCTCTAGGATCAAGCCCTGACTGCCCGCATCCCAGTCATTCCAAGACAAGCACAAGTCTCTATGGTTTGGAGTACAAGATCCATATTACACGCTAAGAAAAACTGGTCCTGTAGCTCTCCAAGCTAATTGACATATTACAGCCAAGCCTGCGTGGATGGTGATCCTGCTGGGAAAGGGTTAAGTGGATCTTGTTAACTCACAAAAGCATTTGGGAATCACAGTACCCTTCCTCAGGTCTCTAGCAGAAACCCCAAGATTTAGATCTACAGGGTCACATCCCTGATGTCTCTAGCAGAGACCTGAGGAAGCACCCTGAAATACCCAAAAGCTTGTCTAAGTTTATCCCAACCATGCAGTTGGTCCAATAAAATATATCACCTGCAAAAATCCTTGCCTCTCGCATATTTTCTGGACCATCATGGATACAGCAACACCTCAATACTACCAAAGTGGACATAGGCACCTAAGCACGATTCTAGTCCAGCCTGTTCAAGATCTGAAATTCCATTAATATGACTGTTTTTGTAATGAACCATTATCTGACCCACAGGACTGAGTCACAGAAAAGCAGCAAGGAGTAGGACCCTCTCACCTTCTGTATTAACAGCTTTTCAGGGACTCCAGCAGGGTGGGGAAAAAAAAAAAAAAAAAAAAAAAAAAAAATCACACTCTGGTGCCTAATTTCACTTACCTGCCTAACAGGTGGAATAAAATCTGGTCCATAAAGTTAATTATTTATTCATATGCAATACTGCAACCGAATAACAAAAAAGCCATAAGCAACCTATAAACAATGGCATTGAGAGATAAGGCATGAGTGACAGTTTTAGATTTGATAACCATTGCAAGGCATCTTCAGTTGCCTGGTGCAGGTCTTTAATGCAATCATTAAAATGATAAATAGGACATTTCTTCATGATGTGCACTATAGTTTGGATTTCACCACACACACTCTTTAATAAAATTCTACTCATGTGGTAGGTAGTTACATCTACCTTGTCCAGGGTGAACCCCATTCAGTGTTATCCAGCTCCGCCTTGGTAAAGCAAAGCCAGGAGAGGTGGGGTCTGTGATAAGAAATTTATTAATGATGTCAATTGTGTTCCACTGCTGGACCCATTTTTCCTGGATGTCAAAGTTTTCTCCAGTCAGATCTTTTCCCACACTCCAAAATGGCATGAGTTAAGGCTCAGTGTTAATGTAGAGTTAATGCCAAAGCCAAACTATAAACCCCCAACCACCTTCTCACTTGCTTACAAGTATGAGATACAATTCCTTTGGAGCTCATGCTGCCCTGCTTCGTCTCAGTACAAAGGGAACTGTCTCTTGTTTCAGCAGAGTCCCTCTGGCTGTGCTCTTTATAAACGGAGTGCTTGTTCTCGCTGTTTTGATCAGACAGGAGGCACACCCAGCTCACCAAGCACTGACTACAAGATTGGGATCTTCTTGAGTTCTAAGGAACTAACTGTTCCCCTGTCAGAATGGCTTCATCGCTCACAGCACAGAGCAAAGAACTCGGTATGCCCTTGCTGGCAACAGTTCTATTACTCTGCCAGCCCAGCAGCACTAAGCTGCTGTTAAGTCTGTTCTCTGGACATTGCACTTTGCATCCCCCAGTTAATCATTCTCCTACAGCCCTGAGCCAGTGACCACTTGTGCATAGATCTAGCCCAGGTTGCTCCAGTGGGACTACACAGTACCTGTTTCCCGGTGTAGAGCTTGGCAACTGGTGTCAGCAACCGGAGAAGAAGCCGGTCCCGCTCACTTGCCATGCTGGTTTCCTCTAATCCAAGGAGCCTGGCTATCTCCATGAGCAGTAGAAAAGCCCCTCTTCTTTGCACCTGCAAAGGAAAAAGGAGAAAATGCTCACAGGCCACAGGGCTGGCTCATGCATCAACCAGGTCAGACATCAGGACAGAAAAAACTTGAGGGGCTACTCGCTACCTAGACTTGGGCACTGAACAGACTCCTGCTATAGCTTTAAAGCCAAATGCTGCTGTGTCCAGTCTAACCAACCACACCATGTTACAGGCCATGACTGGAACAGTACCCAACTGTGGTCTGTTATCACTCAGGAGTGTGATGCTGCCAATTCTTTCAGCTCCATCAGATATGAGCCCAGTGATCCCTCCTGGTTTCGGATCCAGTTTTCTGGTATTCCATGGTGCAACAGTGCTACACGGGACTTGAGACCATGCACCAGTGTGACTCAGCAGAGATGCCAAAGCACAGCAGGCTCAAACTTGGTACTGCCAAGATCTGTGGGGCTCTGGCTGTTAACATATCAAGCAGTTTGCTTCCATCATTGTTCCAGAGGGGCATAGACATAATGAGGAAGGAGTTTTTTTACACTGAAAAACACCACCAGCACAAGGCCAAAGAGCTACAAACTGGCAAAGGACCAATTCAGTCTGTAAACTGGAAAATTTTTAACCAGGAAGGAAGTTTTGGAACATTTTTTTGAACCAAGTAGTCAGGGCATAGAACCTGGCTCACTTTAAGATTGAACTGGTTAAGTCTATGGAAGGGACTGTATGTAATCTCTATAAGATATGGAATTTGGGAGTCAACAGTGTACGTGTAAGGTAGAATCATATGTTTTCAATCCCTATGCCGGCATAGAGGTACAGGTCAGTCGCACCTTACACAGGGGTTAGGTTCTGAAGTCAGCATGTAAGGCGAAAATCGCGTATAGTCAAATCGCATATTACCGTGCCAGCGATTTGACTAGCGGTGACTGCCTCTAACTCCAAAACCTCCTGCCGCTGCAGAGCTGTGCTTAGAGCTGTGCGGCCGGCGGCAGCGCAGGGTGGTGGGGGGGATGGCTGCATGCCGCCTGGCCACCCCCCCAGCAGTGACTGCCTCTGCCTCCAAAACCTCCCATCACTGCCACAGAGCCATGCTTAGAGCTGTGCGGCCGGCGGCAGCGGTGCAGCGCGGGGTGGTGGTGGGGATGGCTGCGTGCCGCTCAAGCCCCGCCACCCCGCATATAGTTGAAGTTGCGCAAGTTAAATGCGCATATGATGCGGCTGACTTGTAGCTCTTTTGGTGTGGTAGGTACTTCGTAATACCACACTTCAGGGCTTTTGCTGGTCACCTGTAGAGGACTGGAAGGAACTCTTTTCCCAAATGAGCATTTCTGACTTCTGAGGCATCTTTCTCTGAGGCTCTGGGACACTTGTCACAGCTAAGGCTCAGAGTTTCTAACTGGGGTGCACTGACCCTCCTGCCAGTACTAGAAACTCAGAGGTTCCTAGCTAGAGTCTTACTCTCACCAATAACCAAGTTTAGAGTCAGAAAGGAATTTCCCCCCTCAGCCAGGCTGGCAAGGACTCTGTTGGGTATTGTTTTCCTCTGTAGCATGGAGCATGGCCTTTACTTAGAATCTTGTGAGCATATTAACCAACTATTTCCCTGTCGCTGCAGTGTCCTCATTTCCCCTGCTGTTAACTGTCGCAAAGGATAGCTTATTCTTGCTATTCCAAATATTACGCTTATAACTGTGATGATTTGAAGTGGCAATTTTGGGGATTCCTTCAGTTAACAATCACCTGCACATGCAGGAAACTGGACATGCAGCCCCTTCCTGTCCTGTGTTCCTACGTGATTCTCCAAACATGTCAGGAACCATCTGATTGTGTATGAACCACTCAGGGTGGTGTTCTGTTCCCCTCTAATGGCACCTAGACCACATGGGAAGTGAGCTAGAGACTTGCCTAACACCCTTGGGTCTTTTAGCTCAGACAGGAGAAGCCTGTGTTCTCAAGTGCAATCCCTCCTGTATTGCCAAAATAAGGCATCACATCCAGACAGGCATCAGGGATACTCTACCACAGGGCCAGCAAATATTTTGGGCAGAGGGCCACTTACCAAGTTTTGGCAAGTAGGGATGTGCGAAGCAGGCCCTATTCGATTCGGATTCGGCCCAAATCAGGGACAGTGATTCGATTAGTTGATTCAGATCACTGTCCCTGATTTGATTCAGCTGAACCCAAATCTGAAGATTCAATGCAGATTCGGAAAATCAGTGATTTGGACATAGACACAGTTTTACAAGTTTTTTCTACATACCTTGAGGTAGCAGGTGTGGCTTGTGATTACTGCAATGCTGGGATGCATGGAGTGTCCCACAGGACTGTGGGGGCACCCTCCATGTGCTTGGTGGTGAACCTGGAAGTGAACTGAAAATACTTCCAGTTCACTTCCAGGTCTGCTGGGGAGCATGCTGGGGGGTGGGTCCCCACACCTCCCCAGCTTGCCAATTGGCCACAGGGGGACCCAGGGTGCCCCCCCCCAGACCCAGGAGGCACCAGTTCCCAAGCTAGGAGTTTGAAAGGGGGGGGGGGTGCGGCAGCCAGCACGCTCCCCAGTGGACCCAGAAGTGGACTGGAAGTGCTTCTGGTCCTCTTCCATGTCTGCTGCTGAGCATGCTGAGGAGCCCCCCTGCTTCTGAGCGACACTCCATGAGCCCCTGCATCGCACCATTCACGAGCCGCCTGCTACCTAGAGGTATATAGAAAAAACATTAAAAGCTGTCTCTATGTCCGAATTGCTGAATCTTTCCAAATCTCTCTGAATCGATTTGGAGGGTTCCAATTTGATTCAGAGAGATTAAAGGGTCCTCTGATTCAATTCAGATTTGGAGATTCAGCCATCGAAATGGGCCAAATTGCCAACAAATCAAATCAGAGACCAATTGCTATCTTGTGACTGGAAGTCCCACCCCCTAACCTCTGAGCTCCGCCATCAGAAGTCCCTCCCTTTGCCCATGGAAGTACTCCTTTCAGTAAGGGGTTTTGCCATCTCGGAACCAGAAAAATACCAAATTATATTCTAAAAATTTGTTGTGGGAGACTCCCTCATGAGGGGGACTGAGGGGGCAATCTGCCGCTCCGACCCCTTAGCCCGGGAAGTCTGCTGCTTCCCGAGGGCCTGCATCCGGGACATTGCGGAGAGGATCCCAAAGCTCCTCCAACCCACAGACCACTATCCCATGCTCCTTATTCATGTGGGCACCAGTGACACAGCTCGGAGCGCTCCCAGCCGGGTCATGAGGCGCTACAGGGATTTGGGAGCGGGGCTAAAGGGTCTGGGGGCACAGGTGGTGTTCTCGTTGATCCTCCCAGTCTCAGGCTATGGGCTGAGGAGGGAGAGGAGGATCCA